AGCCTGTCCACTCTCTGGACCCTGCCTTGGTTTCCTCAGCTGTGGAGTGGGCACGGGCAGCCCCCACAGGACGCTGGGAGGGCTCAGGGATCACGGGCGGGGATCCCCGAGCAGTGCTCGATGGACAGCAGTTTTCCCGAGTCCTGGGAGGCTGAGGACAGCGCAGGCCCAGGGATGAGGCTGAGGCAGAGGCTGTGTCTGACAGGGCCAAAGGTCCTGGTCCACCTGCGGGAACCACAGGGCCCAAGTGGCACTTTCTCACCTCCCCTCTGCTGCCTGCTCTGCTTTTCCTGCTGGCTGTGGGGCTGGGGCTCCACCCAACACCACACAAGGCTCCACTGAGTGCCACCTGACTGGTCCTGTGGTCCTGTGACACACTGGGGGGGAGGGGACCACAGTTATTAGCCCATTTACAGCTGAGCTGACCCTGGCTCAGCTCATCACCCAGGGGATCAGCTCTACCTACTCTTTGCAGGGAAGAAACCGAGGCTCAGACAGAGTGGGAACAAGGCACCCCTCCCTGGCTGTTCCTCCTTCCTTCTGTTGCCTGGAACTTGGACATGATGGTTGGAGCTCCCGTGGCCATCTGGGTCCATGAGATGACTTTGAGGAAGGAAACAATGTTTTAAGATGGTACTTGGGAAGATAAGAGCCTGCGTTCCTGATGCCACAGTGCTCTCACCCCAGCCCTGGACTGTGCACGTCAGAATTCTTTCACATAGAAACAGATTAAAATCATTACAATGGATTTTCTGTAATTCATCACTAAACCTAATTCTAAGTACCACACACCATGTGAGATTGTGTAGTCCAGTCTTGGTTACATGGGATCGAAAGACCAGGTCAGGCAGGTTAAGTGAAAGGGGGAACATTAGCTTTTGCAATAAAAAAGTCTAGGGTCCACCTTCAGGCAGAGTGGGATCAGGGAGCCCCATAGATGTCACCAAGACCCATCTCTGCTCTTATCCACTCCTGGCTCTACTGTCCCTTGGCAGGCTTCCTCTGGGCAGCCTCTTCCTATGCACAAATCCCTCCCCCAGTAGCTCTGGGCTTATCTGTCCCCAGCTCGGCTTCCCCCAAGGGTTCCAGCGTAAGTCTCAGCCGACTGGGGTGTGCAAATAGCCTTGAACCAGGGGCTGGGGCGATGGTCTTCACTGTGGAGCAGGCGGGGTGGCCCACTGAGCCCGCTGAACCTCTTGTCCCGAGAACCCCAGAGCTGCTGCCCGTGGGGGCGCTGGGCCCTGGGCAGGCATCACCTAATCTGTACAGGAAAGAAACCCAGGTTCAGAGCAGGAACGAGGGACGCCCTCCCCAGGCACGGGCAGGGTGACCAGGCCAGCAGCACAGAGGTGACCCGCTGTGTGGCTCCCACGCTGTGGCCAGCCCAGGCTCTTCATGGCTGCCCCTGAGAGTGGCCATGGAGAAGCCCTTTCTCCTCTCCAAGGCGAGGTTCCTGGCCGTGGCGGGGACAGGAAGGCCACAGATGGGTGGCTCTCGGGACCCTGACCCTGTGTCCGCCCTTGCCCCCGCTGGGGTCTCACGTCCAGGCTGGTCCTGCTCCTCCAGGTGTCCTCCTTCAGCTTCCAGGGTAATAGCTATAGGTGGCCCAGTGGGCGGTGACCCTAGCCACACTGCCACGGCTCCGCATCCCGAGCCTCACCACCTCCTGAGACAGGAGGAGCCACCCCCAGCCACAGGCCTCAGGGCTCCCCTGCCCAGTCCAGCAGGGTGGCCGTGACCGTGGCCTCCTGGCGGCCCTGCTGCTGCACAAGCCCCACAAGCAGTGGTTTCCTGGGGGTAACTCGGGGCAGCAGGGCCAGAGAGGGTGGGGACCTGGGGGCACACAGCACAGCAGGCCATTACATGGCAATCAGGGCTCAGGCCCTAGGGACTCACCCCAGGCAAGCCCAGGCTGGGCAGGAATGGGGCGGAACCACCTGGGCCTGCACAGGGCCGCCAGGGTCAGGCCTGCCATCAGGTCCGGTCTCCCTGGGCCGTGGCAGCGCTCGCTCCCCTGGCCAGAAGGAAGGGGCTCCAGCCCTGCCCTGCCTCCTCCGCCCCCTCGGTGCCACCTGACAGGCTCAGCTCCACCTCTCTCCTGCCACTCCGGCCTCAGGCACATGGCTCTCGGGTAGCACGTAGCCAGGGAGGCTGGCCCTCGACATGTCAGCCTCCACACATGCACACATGTGCACACCTGCAAGTGCTCACTGTGCCTGAGTGCGTCAGGGCGAAGAAGGAGATTCGTGAGGCTGTGTGGACGTGCGTGACCATGCCTGCGTGTACCTCCCCGCCGGTGCACCAGGTGTGTGGCTGGCTGTGCTTCTGGCCCAGCTCTGTGGGACCCGGGCCAGGCCGACAGGTCAGGGGCACACAGGGGAGGATGCCCTGCAGCCCACACCCACTTGACACCTGCTCTGTCAGGACTGTGCTGCTGCCAGGGACACAGCGGAGGGCAGGACGTCCCTGCTCTTGGGAGGATGATCGTGGCCCCGTGCACTGCAAGGCTCAGGGCGTACCATGTTCTGGGTGGGGTCAGGGCCTCCCAGGTCCCCCTGCCCTTCACCTCTAGGGCAGTGCCTCCACAGGCCTCCTGGGGCTGTGCAGGGACTTCACACTTCCATGTCTTGGTCCCCAGCTGTCACCTGGGTTCTCGTGGGCAACTGAGACATCCATGGAAAATGCTTGTGAGTGCCTGGCAGCGGCCAGCCTGCGAACGTCAGCGGCTGGGGCCAGATCTTCACTGGTGTCCTGTGGCCCTGCACCTCAGCTCAGCACAGGTGACCTCAGGAACCCTCTCTCCTAAGTCTGCCCGTCCAGGGTCCTTAGTACCGGAACCCAGAGGGTGTTTCCCAAGACCCGAGGCCGTCCTGAAGGCCTGTATCAGAGGCTGCCCCTGGCTGATAGGGACAGGAAATGTGGTAGCTGCGAGTGGCCCTCCTGATAACCCTGGCAGTGCCCACAACCCCCTCCGTGGCACCTCTTGCTCTTATCTGCTCTGGGTTGGAAGGCCATGGGTCCTCAGTGTGGGGGAAGGGCAGGGAGGGCCCTGGGGAGAAAAGCAAGCCCACAGACTCCACCTGACGTGGCCTCTGCAGGCCTCTGGACAGAGCCTGGGCCTGAACCACAGAGGGGCAATCTGCACGTTAGAGATGAACCGACTGGGAAAAGCCAAAGCAGGGCCCCAGGACCCCAGAAGCAGGTGGGAAAGGTCCACCCGACATCATCCCCCCTCGGGGTGACCTCTCTTGATTTCCAAGCCCAGGGCCAACCAAGGGCGACCCTGCGGCACTGACGGAGGACTCCACTGTGCACCCACTCACATCCCTCCCCCAGGTGGGTCGGCCAGCAGGTGGGCTTCAGGAGGCACCAAGGGCTCAGTGGTGGTGGCCACTCCTCATGTTGCCCGTGCCTCTGCTCCAGAGCCTCGAGGCTGCTCCTCCCAGCGTGTGTCCAGACCTCTCCCCATTGGCAGCCAGGCACCCTCCACCCAGGGGGTGGTCCTGAACCCTCACTGGCACTTGCTGGACCTGTTCTGTCAGAATCCCTGCGGCCTGCTGGCCTTCAGACCAAGTCCACCCCCCACAGCCTACGTCAGCACCAGGTTCCCTGCTGAGCAGCGAACAAGGTACAAGCTCCTGGTCCCTGCTCAGCAGGAGCAGGGCAAGGACAGGTGAGGTCACAGACTAAGTGGAGCAGCTGACAGCGTGCTCAGCTGGTGAAGCTACAGGTTCCCGACAGAGGGGCCAGCAGGGCAAAGGCCCTGGGGCAGGATCTGCCTGTGTGTCCAGGAACAGATTGGAGCCCTGATGCTGGATGTGAGTGAGTGAGGGGCGGGCAGCAGGCGAGGCCAGGGCGGCCACTTCAAGGGCCATGGGGAGCATGGAGGGTTTGGGGCTGGGGGAGAGGAAAGCTCTGGACAGTGACATGAAGAGGACAGTGAGGGGAGGTGGGGGCCCGCAGCTGGAGAAGACTCCCGACAGGCTCAGGAGGCAGAAACCCCGGATCTGCCACGTGGGGTGTGGAGGTGGGGAGGGCCTCGGGGGTGGTGTCTGGCCTGGCCACTATGGCAGGTGAGGGGCAGCTGGAGCTGCACCTGTCCAGGGCTCAAGCCCTGCCTGAGGGGCTAGGGTACGAGCACCTGGAGAGAGGGCCAAGCCTCCCTCCGCCTCAGCCGTGGCTCGGATCTGCCTCTTGTCGGGAGCAGCTGGGTGATCCTCGTGTGGAGTGCCCTGCTGACCCTCTGTGCCTTCTGCTGTGACACTGCCCTGCCACCCTTCAGAGGCTTCCCACAAATCTCTGGGTCTCCCAATCACCCTGTGCCCAGGGAGCTGGGTGGCATGTCCGTGTACACACCCCACAGTGGGCCCAGCTCCAGCCTCACCACCTCCCTGAGTTCACCTCCTTCCACTGGCCTCCTGGTCCACGAACCCCACCTCCGGGCCTCTGTGCCTGCTGCCCTCTGCCTGGAGCCCGCCCTTCTCCGTTGGCCTCCCAGTATCTCCTTCGTAGGGCTGGTCACCATCGGGCTGACTCAGTGGCCTGTGTGCCCCTCACAGACCCTGATGGCAGGACCATGCTCTGCTCACCACCCTCCCCAGAACTCTGCCCACCGACCAGCGCACGTTTCTTGGAGGGAAGGAAGGAGCGAGCAGCTGCAGCGGTCAGGGTCCACGTCCTCCCCACTCCTGCTGCCTCCCTGCATGGCCACCCTGCTCCTGGCTCTGAGTTCTGGGCATGCTCGGACATCCTCTCTAACCCGTGCAGCATCCCAGGCAGCTCCCACAGGCACCCCCAGCTCAGGCCTCCTGTGCAGCCAGGATGGCAGTGCCCCTCCCACACTACCTGCGAGGACCTGCCTGGGCAGGGCTGCCTCTCCCCCAAGAAGGCGCTCTGGGGCCGTGTTCGTTCTGTCACCCTGATGCCCAGGCTGCAAGGGCCAGAGGCAGAGGCCACCCAGGGCCACTGGGCTTAAGAGAAAAATTACAAACCAACTCTCCTTACAGAGAACAAGTTTTATTTTTATAATCAGAACATTCTAATAAAAATACCATAACATTAGCTACCTTCACCTCCGGGCTTTCTCTACTCCAGGCGTGCCATGGGACACCGGCCACTCGGCTCCCTGAGGTAGGGCAAAGGCACAGCCCAGCTGCCCGCCTGCTGGGGGCCCCCTCTGTGCTGGGAGCCCCTCATCCTCTAGTCCCGGGCCCCACAGGAGTTGGCACAGCGAACCAGAAGCCCCCACTGCGCCTCTTAGCAGCAGGAAGGGTGCGTTCCGGGCTGCGTGCAGCAGGTGACGACAGGAGAGTGGGCGCAGAACCTGCACTCAGAGCCTTGCAGGGGCCTCAGAGGGCTGGGCTGCCACTGTCCTGTCCCACAGCAGCTGGCGCGCACTCCCAGGTGGGAGGAGCAGGGCCCAGGGAGACACGCAGCAACAATGTGGTGACAGACACCTGAGAACTCACCATGGTGGCCAAACACACTTCACCAGCCCAGCAGGCAGTGAACAGTTGCCCAGGAGGGCCCTCTCGTCCCATGATGCCTGCCTTCCAAGGGCCAGATCAACCGGCGGCAGACATTGTATCACAGAAATACTGTCATCATCTCTAGGTGGAGCCATCAACAAAAACAAGTCTCTCAGTCAAAGTTAGGTTCTGGGTTCTTGGTGGCATCAGTGTCTGTTGAAAAAATAGACTTGAAATTCTGGAATCGCTCAGTAGCAAACAAAGAACAGGAAAAGGCGCAGTGCGTCCACTGAAAAGGACATCACTGGCACCTGGGGGGACCTGGTGGCCCGCTCAGGAAGCGGCTTCGAGGAGGAGGAGGGCGGTCCCCACACAGCAGCCGGCCACAGTCCTGGGTTCTCCCTGCCAGGTCTCCCTGAGAAGGCACCTCGGTGGAAAGGGTGTCAGCGTGGCCCGCGGCACCGGGAGTGTGGGGGGCAGCCAGGCCTGGGGGTGGGCCAGGGGCGAGGGGCCTGCACTCGCCTCTTCAGACAGCTACTTGGTCACTCCGTCCTGAAGTCCCCCTCAAGGCACGATGGGACCTAGACCTGAAGAGACGCCGCCTGGACGTGCCAGGGGGTCTTGGAGGCACAGGTGCTGGTGGAGCCAAGAGCTCGGCCGGCCACTGGCCCAAATGTGTCTGCTGGGTGGGCAACGTCACCGCAGTCCCTGCAGCGGGGACGGCCCTCACTGCATCCTGTCAGGCTGCAGCTGCGGTGCTTGGTACTGCACAAAAGCGGCCCCCGCGGGGGCCGTGGCTGACAGGGCCTGTGGCATGGCGGCTGGGTAGCTGTAGCCCACAAAGCTGGCGGCTGTGGCAGGCGAGGCGGCATATGGGTACTGGTCGTAGGTGGCTGGTGGGTACTGGGCATAGGCCGGGCTGGCAGGCGTGTACTCGATGTAGGGCGAGGACAGCGATGGGACGGGCGTGGCCGGGATCACCACACTGGGCTGCACGATGGCTTGCGGGTAGATGTAGTGAGGGGTCAGCCTGTGGGCCAAGCAGAGAGTCAGGGCCAGCAGGCAGAGTGGGGAGACGTAGGGCCCAGGTGGAGCAGGACGCAGTGGGCCCCTCCCCAGCCTCTTCCTCATTCCCCAGCGGCACCATCGGAACTAGCAACCCCTACCCTGTCTGCGTGCCCACACACCCTCCACCTGCAGGGGGCCTGGCAGCGCCCATGGCTCCTGCTCCCAGGGAGGCCTTCCCGGCTGAGCCACCCCACGCCCCACCTGCCTCCCCCAGGACCCCTGCATGATGTTTAGAGTGGCCGAAGAGACGCCAGGCAGCTCTGGCAGCGAGCCTGGTACAAGCCCAGCCCACGCCCTGCCCAGGGAACCCTCACAGGCTGCCTGTCCTGCCTGTCCCCAGCTCAGTGCCACTCATACCCGGCTGGCACTGGCCAAGGTGGGAGTAAGGAGCACCTGCTGAGGGGCGCACAGCAGGTGGAGAAAGAGGCAGAAGGACTGCGACAGTGAGGGGACGGGGAGACCCGGGGCACGGCCACCTGGCGATCCCACAGGCAGCAGGGCAAAACCCGCCACAGGTGGAGAGCCACAAAGTGCTCCTCACCCAGGAGCAGTTGACCCTCGTCTTGTTAGGAGGGGAAGAGAATGGGCGGCCACATACCAGGCTGCCGCGCAGGGCGCTGGAGACATCACCCTGTGTCCTGGGCACAGGGCCCCAGCCCTCCATGGGAGGGAAAGTCCCCGTGCCAGGGGGGAATGGCAGCCCAGGGCCAGCAGGAGGCGGGGGAGGCAGACAGAGGGCGCTGCCCTGGTGGGTGCGGCTCTGCCCAGCTGCTATGCGTACCTGGGCCTCACGGCCTGTGCAGCAGCAGCAGCAGCGCCCACAAAGCACCACTGCAAGACGCTCTGAGTGTCAGGCGCAGAACGACCATGTCAAGGCGAGACGTGGCCACCACGCACCAGTGCTCCTCCACTTGTGCCCGTGTGAATTACACAGGGCAAAGTGCCCCAGGTGGAGCCCTCACCCCTGGACCAACTCAGAAAGATGCCACCATGAGAAGGCCATGCAGATGCGTTGGACCAAACAGAGCTGGCAGCCTGGGAGGGCACTACGGCAGCCCCAGGGTGCTACATGGAAAACCCGGGTCACCGGAGGGGACAGAGCAGTGTCTTAAGATCCCTCCAGAGCACACACTGCACTGCTGAGGTCGGTCAGCAGCACACCTGCGATGCTGTTTATGCAGAACATCTCCAGGTGTCCCAGACAAGGCCAAGCGCACACTGATGCTGCGCAGGGGTGCATGCCATTCCTGACTCCCCTGCTGAGCAGGGTGGACCCAGGACAGATGAGGGAGGCTGGGGGCAGGCCAGTTCCAACTCTTACCGGTGGCCACACCTGTGATTCCTGCCACTCAGAGGCCGAGGCAGGAAGATCACAAGCCCAAGGCCAGCCTCAGCAACTTAGTGAGGCCCTGTCTCAAAAATAAGAAAGGCTGGAATGTGGCTCACCAGTCAAGTGCCCCAGAATTTAATCCCTGGTGCGAAAAAAAAAAAAGAAAGAAACAAAAGAAAGAAAGGTTAGGAGGAAGGAAGAGCCCCAGCACCCACCCCCTCAGGACTGGCTAAAGGAGGTGTGATCTGCAGCAGTGACGGGCCCCACGTAGGAGAGCCTTGGAGGGCCACCCTGAGCGAGGAAAGTTGCATGCCCAGGCCACATCTCCCATGGGTCCATGTGCGTGAATGGCCCAGGAGGCCAATCAGACAAGAGCTGGGGAGCAGGGAACCGGGGGAGGGGCTCCAGCAGCCTCCTCCGGGGGCTGAGACTTCTGCAGCAGACAGTGGTAGTAGCCACACAGCTCTGTGGACACTTGCCACCGCACTGGTCAAGACAGTGGGGTCCAGAGCATGTCCCTTTTGCCACAGTGAGGTTATGCAGGCCAGGGACAACCCGAGGTAGGGAGGGGTGTCCAGTGTGGGTACATGCATGGCAGGGGAGCACAGCAGAGCAGGGAAGCATGCCAAGGCTCAGGGCCCACATGCCCCCATGCCTGAGGGACCCCAGTTCCTGTCGGGAGGTCCCTATGCCACAGCATGCTCAGAGATGCTAACTGCCTTCCCCCAGAGGCTGCAATGACACACACAGACAGAAGGCAGCACCCTGGGCCCTGCACAGAAGACATCCTGCAGCCACTGTCTGGAGGCCAGGCAGCCTCTGCCAGGCCCCCACAGAGGTGCCTGCCCACCCTCACCTCACCGGGCTCCTCTGTGGTCCAACCTGCCTCTACCAAGGGAACTCAAGCCTTGAATGGCTGAGGCCTGAGATCAGATCCTGAGGCAGGCTGACACCTTCCCACACTCCTGCCTGGACCAGCGGAACACAGGACCCTGTCCTTGAGGGCTTCGGTTCCAGGGTGGGGAGAACAAAGCACATCAGCCAGAAGCCAGAGCTTCTGAGGAACTGAGAGGGCAGAGGGCTGGGAGGTGGCAAGCTGCAGAGACAGGAAGCCCCTCCAAGGTGGGAAGACCACACTGAGACCTGAGGACAAGAATCTGGCCACAGAGGACAGTAGAGAGGAGTCTAAGGCAGGGGCAAGTGTGAGCACTGGAGGGGCTGGACAAGAACACTAGGCTACCCTTCATGCACATGCCCCCCACAGCCCTGACCCCCAGATCCTTGCTGTGCCAACCACGCCTGTCCCCCTATGCATATCTAGCCCTCCCTGGGAGGGAGTGCCCGCAGGCCCTTCCCGCCCTGGCCTTCACCAGAGGCCTGCTGCTGTCTCCCTGCAGTGCCCCTGCTCCCTGGATGACCCCTGGCAGGAATCAAAAGCTCTTTTTTTTGGGAAGGGTTGGGTAAGCCTTTGGGAGGCAGGGTCCCAGCTGGGAGTAGAGAGACAGCAGACAGACAGGGCAGCCATGCTGACGTTGCACCAGCTGCCCTGCAGTCCTGGTGCCCACCTGCTCTGGAACCCTTGGAAACACTCCTCCCTGAGCTTAGACCTCCTCCAAACATAGGCAGGGCACCTGGCCACAGGCCCTGAGTCACACAGGGGTGGACCTCCTGCAGACTGCAGTCAGATGGGCAGGACCTGCCAAGGTGGCCCAGGTCCTAGTCCCCAGCCACGTGCCAGCAATGCCACTCAGAACAGGGCCAACTGCTGAGAGCCAGGCTCCAGCACTCACAGGCCACTGGCCCCACCACCTCTACCGAGGCCCAGTGCCATCCAAGGGGATCTGCCTCCACGTCCCTGGCTCCCAGGGACACCCTGCATCTGTGTGTCTTCGGCTGTGCCCCCTGGAACAGCTCAGGTCAGCCCCACCAACACGAGGAGCCCGAGGCCTTATATTTCATCCTCAAAGCCCAGAACAGGTGCAGTTCTGCCCCTTTTGTTGAGAGAAAAAGATGCTCAGAGGCCCAAACCACACAACAAAGGAGGGGCCGAGTGAAGTCCACCCACTGCCCACCTGCTGCACAGCACCTGTGCCCTGAAGACTGGTGGGCCCAGGCCTGGGTCAAAACAAAAGGAAGGAATGGGAGGGGCCAACTGTGCCGTGCCAGGAGCCCAGGCCAGGGAGGCCGGGGGTGAGGACCGTGAGGCGTGGGCAGCGACAGGGCTCCCACAGTCTCTCTTCTGGCCGGCCTGGCTCTGTCCGCAGGCAAGTCGCAGGCCACTTCCATGATGCAGAATGGTCTCACAAGCCCCGTCATGGCTAGCTATGGGGCCACAGACTGCACAAGGGCAGTGGCTCCCAACCAGAAGAAATGGCAGGGTCTGGAACAACTCTGGTTGTCACAGCTGGGGTGGGGACAGTTGCCAGAACACTGCTAACATCCTACAATGCCCAGGACAGTCCCCACAGCACAGAACTCTCCAGCCCCAAATGTCACTAGTGCAGAGGTCGAAAGCTCTGCCTCACATACCAGAAACTACCATGCCACAGGCAGCACGAGGCATTGTCACTGCTGCTGCAGTCACAGATGCCCGAGCCAGAGGCTGGAGAGGGCAGGCGGGGTGACGAGGCTGGGCATGTGCACACACAGGAGCACACGCATACAGACAAGAAGCCACCAGTCAGGAGACGGCAGCCGGCAACATCGACACGGAGGGCAGCTTGGCCCTAGGGCCTGCACCTCAGAGGCCAAGTCCTGCCTGGCGCAGGGGAACCCACTCACACCCTGACCCAGGTTCAGGAGGGCCCGGGTGCCAAAGCCTCCTGTGCCTGGCCCTCACGTGCAGGGAAGGGCATAGGCCTGGGGCACAAGCTGTCGGGCCACCAAATCTCAGCAACTCCATGCACAGGCCTGTCCTCCCAGGGCCTGCAGGCCAT